CCCTAACCCTAACCCTAACCCTAACCCTAACCCTAACCCTAACCCTAACCCTAACCCTAACCCTAACCCTAACCCTAAGCCTAAGCTGCGTTAGATATAGCTACATAGCTTCCTGGTCTAGGGATAGAGGCTAGTTAAGTTGCAGCTTCTAAGTGGCGCTTAGTATTATAATTAATAACGCCTTTCCTCTATCTCGCCCTGCTCTGCTAGACTCCTAAGAGAAAGCTGATACCTTGTTAGGTGCATTAATATAGACTACCTAGCAGATATAAGAATAGTTAAATCTAATGCTAAGAGTAGAGGTAGCTGCAATTGCTGGCTAGTCTATATTAGAAAGCCACTTAGAGAGGATAGCTGCCTTCTCCTTATCTAATCCGGACTTAGCAGTATATAATAGGCATCTTAGTATATTAGCAAGTAATGCCACTTTATCTTAGGTCTAGTAGTAGAGGATAATCTTATTCTAGGCATAGTTAAAGAGCTCCTTTTAGAGCTAGCATACGTAAACTAGGTTAGCAGCCTTCTTAATTAAAGTGCTAGGCCTAGTTTCTCAGCTAACTAGATACTTGATATTTAACTGATTTGTTAACTCTTAGATAACCCTTGGCTTAACTAGCTTATTATACTTAAGGAACTGCTCTTATATAACTAGAGGGAGGGTGGCAGTTAGCTAAATAGTCTAGGTCCTAATCTGCTGGATATACTAGCCTAACTATGCTATATATAAGCGGTAGTTGCTAGTAGTAATAGTAAAATAGCCCTTATTAACTATAATCTAGTCTAGCCTTTGCCGGCTGACTAGACTATAGGCATAGTTAAGAAAGGTCTTGATATATGTAGCCTCTACTAATATAATAATAAGTAAGGCTAACTGCTTAGTATTAACTAACTATATTAGAGGCTGAATACCTATTAGGTGATAGCGTCTTAGCATGTCACCTTGAAGAATAACTATAGGGAGAACTAAGATTATAGTCCGAGCATTAGTAACTAATACATCTACTATAAAGATAAGCGACTTGCTAGAGCTAGTCCTTATTACTAGGACTACTTGCTTGGCTAGGTGGGGTCCTATAACTGTAAGGAGACCGTCCTGCTATCCTAGGACTTATAGCTGCATATCTAGTGTATTATATAACCTATAAGTAATAGCTAGCAGATTAGCCGTAGAGTAGGCCCCTTTCCTATGCATTTGGCTCTGCTTTAAGACATCTAGCATTTATAATAATAGTGTCTCTAAGGCATCTTATGGCCTCTTCCCCTAAAGAATGTAATTAAACCGGAAGAACATATACTAGCTATTAGATGCTTGATAACTCTAATAGAGTAGAGTATTTATAATAAGTGTTGTTATATTAGTATATGTATAATTAAAGGTATAGTAGCTATAGTTGCTTAGTTTAGCCAAGGTAATAAGATCTAGCTCGTCCTTAATATCCTCCTCTACGCCCTCCTTGAGATTAAAGTTTGCCTGCTCTTTAACGGAAAACTTCTCTTTAGTGATTAATGCTATAAACTGCTACTAGTTAGATATATGTAGGCGTGGCACCTTAGTATAAGTGTATGCTTTAGTTAGGCAGGCCGAAAGTGTCCTATTAGCCTATACTATCCCGTCTAGCTTAGCCTAGAGGTATAGAGAGATGAGAGCACCTGGCTTTAGCTATCTAAGAAACAGCTGCCTTAAAAGCAAGATATATGTAACATATGAAAGCAGCAGATCTCTAATTGCCTTTAGTATAAAGTAAATGTTATTCTTATATATACTAGACTGCTGCTAACTCTTATAATACTAGGTATAGATTATAACTAGCTTCTCCTAGATTAATAGATAGCGCTATTAAGTAGTATTCTGCTATATAACTAAGAGTAATTCTAGTTCTTATAATAGTAGGCTAGGTGAGATATAGTAGAGTACTAACGCCTGCTTAAGGAACTCTTAGGCATATGCTTTATAGATTTCCATAGCCTTAAGATATAAGACCTTACTTCTATCTTTAGTCTTAGTTAAGAATATAGCCTAGAGCTTAGTATTACCTTGGATCCGCTGAAAGAGAGCTAGCTTAGCACCCTCTAGGAACTTAGAATTGCTAGGATAGGATAGCTATAAGCCTCTAAAATCTTTCAGATCTAGGTTATCCTTTATCCTCTATAATTCTATAGGAGTTAGGTCCTTAGCTTAGAATAGGAGCTTATTATATAGCAAGGCATAGGCTTATTAATATTTAGAAACCACTAAGTTAGAGATCTGTAATATCTATAATTCCACTCTATAGTATTCTACTATCTGCTTATCCAAGAACTACTAAGCCTAGTGTTTAGTAATTGCCGCCTTTCTAACCTTAAACAAGTATAGCCTCTACTATAAAATATGCCTAAATAGCATCTCTACTAGCTACTAGAAGAACTTCTTATAGATCTTAGTAAGAAAGATAAGGATTTAATCTTTATTATTCTACTCTTAAAAATAAGCGTAGTTAAAAAGCACTAGCTAGGCAGTTCAAGTTAAAGCTAATAAATAGCTATTAAAATTCCCTAGCTCCTCCTATAATCCTTAGCCTTTTCTATAGACTTTCCTGCTTAATATAGTATAGAAACTTAAGACAGGTGATTTAAATAGCACGCTGCTAATAGTATAGCAGATTAAAGCTAAGTAGAGCTATTAAATAGTATACTTAAGAGCTAGCTCTACTTCTTTCTAATCTTTAAGATCTAATACTTCTATAATCTTATCTATAGCTTAAATCTATAGAGTAGTTAGCTAGATAATATCTTTAGGTAGTTACTAGTCTTCTAGTTAAGCTTAAGACTAGATAAAGTAGCTATCCTTACTATATATTATATAGTAGTAGTATACTAATAGCTACTTTATAGTAGTAAAGTATATAACTAGAGTTAATATATTCTTAAAATACTAGAACCTATCTGCTTTACTTAAAGCCCTAGTATAGAATTTATTTAGGATATTAGCCTGCTACTAGGTTATTTTCTAGTCTAGTAAAGTATTACTATATAACTAGTATATATCTCTTAAGATAGTCTTAGCTGCAATTAAGATTTAGATAAGATTAGGATCCTTAGCATTCTTATAACTTATATTAAGCTCTTTCTTTAGTAGTAGCTTATATAAGCTCTAGATCTCCTTATTCTTTAGCATAGCTAGGTAAGATAGGAATCCTATTAAGTTATATAGCTATAGCACTTATTCTAATCTTAAATCTCTAATATCTTAGATTATAGTTACTTACTTCTTAAGATTATATTTTATAGCCTTAAAATCTCTCTCTAGCTTCTTAAATAATTCCTTCTCTAGCTCTACTAATAGAATAGAACCTATAGTAGCTCTTAATCTGCTAACTCTATTTTTATTATCTTTAACTATAAAGTAATTAATCTAGCCTTTCCTAGTAAAGTAGGTTTATAGCTTATATTCTTTCTATAATAGGCTACTCTTATAAGGTTTTACTTTTATCTTATAATAAGAAGCCTAATACTTCTTTATCTTAGAGAAAAGGTAGATACTATAGCTATAGTGTAACTATAGATAGTAAATACCCTTATAGCTAACTAAATACTTAATTAGCTAATACTTATCTTCTAGCTAAGGCTTATACTCTCTTAGCTCTATAATACTTCTTAGGTTATAGCTACTAAGAAGCTCTACTATTACCTTTAGCACCTTACCTAAGAGTTAATATAGCTATACTTATAAGTGCTACTCTTAACTATAAGTCCCTAGAATAATATAGGACTTATAAATATAATAGATAGTAACTCTATAAGTTAAATTATATAAGAATATAATAAGGAGCTTACTAGGAGATAAGTAGATGCTAGTTAAAAAGGGAGGTAAGAGAAATAGTCTTTTACTAAAATAGGCTTTTACTAGAAAGCGCCTTAGTTAGCCGCGCCTAGACTAATCCGCGTGCTGCATATCTAGGCTTTCACCGAAAAACCGCCTGCGCATAAGAGGTAGATCTGCGACATCTGCAATTCCACTCTACGGTATTCTACTATCTACCTGTCTAAGAACCACCAAGCCTAGTATTTAGTAATTACCGCCTTTTCAACCTTAAATAAGTATAGCCTCCACTATAAAATATGCCTAAACAGCGTCTCTACTAGCTGCTAGAAGAACTTCTTATAGATCTTAGCAAGAAAGATAAAGATTTAATCTTTATCATCTTACTCTTAAAAATAAGCATAGTTAAAAAGCACTAGCTAGGCAGTCTAAGTTAAAGCTAATAAATAGCTATTAAAATTCCCTAGCTTCTCCTATAATCCTTAGCCTTTCCTATAGACTTTCCTGCTTAATATAATATAGAAACTTAAAACAGGTAATTTAAATAGCATACTACTAATAGTATAGCAGATTAAGGCTAAGTAGAGCTATTAAATAGTATACTTAAGAGCTAGCTCTACTTCTTTCTAATCTTTAAGATCTAATACTTTTATAATCTTATCTATAGCTTAAATCTATAAGGCAGTTAGCTAGATAATATCTCTAGGTAGTTACTAGTCTTCTAGTTAAGCTTAAGACTAGGTAAAGTGGCTATTCTTACTATATACTATATAGTAGTAGTATACTAATAGCTACTTTATAGTAGTAAAGTATATAACTAGAGTTAATATATTCTTAAAATACTAGAACCTATCTACTTTACTTAAAGCTCTAGTATAGAATTTATTTAGGATATTAGCCTACTACTAGGTTATTTTCTAGTCTAGTAAGGTGTTACTATATAACTAGTATATATCTCTTAAGATAGCTTTAGCTGCAACTAAGATTTAGATAAGATTAGGATCCTTAGCATTCTTATAACCTATATTAAGCTCTTTCTTTAGTAGCAGCTTATATAAGCTCTAGATCTCTTTATCTTTTAGTATAGCTAGGTAAGATAGGAATCCTATTAAGTTATATAGCTATAGCACCTATTTTAACCTTAAATCTCTAATATCCTAGACTATAGTTACTTGCTTCTTAAGATTATATTTTATAGCCTTAAAATCTCCCTTTAGCTTCTTAAATAATTCCTTCTCTAGTTCTACTAATAGAATAGAACCTATAGTAGCCCTTAATCTATTAACTCTATCTTTATTATTTTTAACTATAAAGTAATTAATCTAGCCTTTCCTAGTAAAGTAGGTTTATAGCTTATATTCTTTCTATAATAAGCTACTCTTATAAGGTTTTACTTTTATCTTATAATAAGAAGCCTAATACTTTTTTATCTTAAAGAGAAGGCAGGTACTATAGCTATAGTATAACTATAGATAGTAAACGCCCTTATAACTAGCTAAATACTTAATTAGCTAATACTTATCTTCTAGCTAAGGCTTATACTCTCTTAGCTCTATAATACTTCTTAGGTTATAGCTACTAAGAAGCTCTACTATTACCTTTAGCACCTTACCTAAGAGTTAGTATAGCTATACTTATAAGTGCTACTCTTAACTATAAGTCCTTAGGATAATATAGGACTTATAAATATAGCAGATAGTAACCTTATAAGTTAAATTATATAAGAATATAATAAGGAGCTTACTAGGAGATAAGTAGATACTAGTTAAAAAGGGGAGTAGGAGAAATAGTCTTTTACTAAAATAGGCTTTTACTAGAAAGCGCTTTAGTTAGCCGCGCCTAGACTAATCCATGTGCTACACGTCTGGGCTTTCACTGAAAAACCGCCCGCGCATAAGAGGTAGAGTGATTTAAATAGCACGCTGCTAATAGTATAGCAGATTAAGGCTAAGTAGAGCTATTAAATAGTATGCTTAAGAGCCAGCTCCGCTTCTTCCTAATCTTTAAGATCTAATACTTCTATAATCTTATCTATAGCTTAAATCTATAGGGCAGTTAGCTAGATAATATCCCTAGGTAGTTGCTAGTCTTCTAGTTAAGCTTAAGACTAAGTAAAGTGGCTATCCTTGCTATATACTATATAGTAGTAGTATATTAATAGCTGCTTTATAGTAGTAAAGTATATAATAAGAGTTAATGCATTCTTAAAATACTAGAACCTATCTGCTTTGCCTAATGCTCTAGCGTAGAACTTATTTAGGATATTAGCC